CCACCACACCCCACCCGGGGCCCTCGAGAGCAGGGACCAGGGTGCTTTGCATGAGGTGTGACGGACAGGTAAGGCATGCTCGTGGCTGCTGTTGGTTTTTGTCTCATAGGGTGGCCGTGAGTCAGAGGTGACTCCATGGCGGTGCGCTGGGTTGGGTTTGAGGCCCTCTGGGCTGGACCTAGAATCCCGGGCATATGGCTGAGGGCATAATTTACAACAGCTCCCTCCTGAGAATGGACCAGAGGGTCTTAGTGTGTGCCATCGAGTACCCTATAGGGCAGAGTAGCACTCCCCCCATAGGATTCCCTAGTGGTCATCTTTACTAGATCGAACCGCAAGGTCGTTTCTCCCCTGGAGCTGCTGGGGGCTTGGCCCGCTGAGCACTCAGCACCAGCAGAGCTCCTGACATCAGCCCCCTAACTTAGCCTTTGTTTCCCTTCTGTTGGTGTCACCTGCACCCCACGGGACCCCAAAGGCTCCCCCCTCGGCTCATGACAATCCCAAGCACAATGCAGCCAAACGCTGCCTGGCCCTGCGGGGTGAGTCCAGGGCCGAACTGCTGTGGTCTCTAGGGCTCTCACTGGCTGGCGTTCAGAGGAGGCCGCCAGCCGTTTCTTCCGCCTGTCTTGGTGCAGAAACCCGGAGCACCCTGGCACCACACAAGCCTCCACTGGAAGGGGCTGTGCATGAGGTGCGCTGGTCTCCTGCCCGGAAGGGGAGGATTCGGCCACTGCGTCCACCGGGTCCCTGTCCCCAGTCCCCGCCCCCATCTTCTACCTGGGACGGCGTGGGGGTGAAAGTCCGCAGAACCCGAAAAACGAGGTGTTCATCCCACAGCGATGGTGAGGCCCACTCAAAGGCGCGTTAAACAATGTTTCCGCACAGGGAACCCAGGACAGATAACCCCTCAGGACCAATACTGGACATAGCCATACCAGGAGGGGAAGGTGAAGGTGGGGGAACCCATTACAGTGGTCTACCTATAACCCACCCCCCAGGGGGATGGACAACAGAAAAGTGGGTGAAGGGAGACATCGGTCAGTGTAAAGCATGAAAAAATAATTAAAAAGTATAGATTATTAAGGGTTCATGAGGGAGGGAGGGTGGGGAAGGAAGGAAGGGAGGGAAAAAATGAGGAGTCGATACCAAGGGCTCAAGTAGAAAGAAAATGTTTTGAGAATGATGATGGCAACAAATGTACAAATGTGCTGGACACAATGGATAGATGGATTGTAATAAGGGTTGTACGAGCCCCCAATAAAGTGATTTTTAAAAGAAAAGAGTTGTAAGAGCGCCCAATAAAATGATTTAAAAACAAACAAACATGTTTCCGCACGCCCGGTGGCCTACCTGGGCCCTCCTGCACGTAGTCGACCATGGGCCCCGTCACGGCGTCGAGGTCCACGTTGGCCATCTTGGAGCTCAGGGCGATTTCCCAGAAGTCCTCAGGGCTGCTGCAATTGCTGCTGCGGTCCCCCGTGTACTCCTGCGGACCGTGGGCTCGGGCTCGGCTCGGCTCGGGCTCGGCTGTGGGCTCGGGTTCGGCTCGGCTCGGCCGTGGGCTCGGGCTCGGCTCGGCTCGCCCGGCCACAGGCTCGGGTTCAGGCTCTCTCAGCCACGGGCTCGGCCACCTGCTGACCCCGCCCCCCAGCCTCCCCCAGGGAGTAGGATGCTCAGCTCCCCAGCCGCCCCGCCCCGCACCTTCTCGTAAAAGAGCCGCTCGAGCCGCCCGTCCTCCTTCTTCAGGGACAGCCAGCGGCCGCACAGGAACAGGAACTCGTCCTCGTTGGTGTCGTTCCAGATGTCCACCTTCTCCACGTACCAGTCCGCGCACCACTTGGTGTTGTCGTGGCGGAGCTTGATCTTGTAAATGACGCCCAGGTCCGCCGCCTCGATGATGAAGGTGTCGGCCTGCGGAGCCGGAGCCCGGATGGCGGGGACTGGGTCAGCCCGTTTCCCGCACCCCACCTTTCCACCCCGAATCCTCCATTGGGCGCTGGATGCCTAAGTCTCTAACATGGGCATCGTGAGTCCAGAGCCTCCCTGTCACAAGGACCCCAAATGCATTACAGTTCTCCTTCATGGATGTATGCTAACCGCCAAGGTCAGCAGTTCAAAACCACCAGCCGCCTAAAAGGGTTCAGAAAGATGAGGCTTTCTACTCCCATAAAGTTTGACCGTCTCAGAAAGCCACAGGTTTCTATGCTGTCCTACAGGGTCTCTATGAATCGGTATGGACTTGATGGCAGTGAACTTGGCTTTGGGGGTTTTGGTCTACTCAACAAATGCTGATCGAGTGCCCGCCCACCCTGTGTTGGGCGGACCTCCGGGCCAGATACTGGGCCTTGCTGTTTGATGGAAGGGAAAAGCGAGCCCTCCCAGCGTTGACAGAGCTAGCTGCCGGCTGGGCACGCTTCTAGGTCCTTGGAGGGCTCTTGTTGGTGCCCACCATGACCTCTATTTTATGGAGACAGAAACTAGGGCACACAAATGTGAACTAACAAGAGCACACAGCTGGCAGATGTCAGAGCCACTATCTGAACTAAGGTGATCTGGCTCCGGTGTCTGGGTGCCTGGACCTTGCAGGGCGCTGCCCAAGTGTCCCAGCGTGCACCTAGAACAAGTGTCTAGAGTGCGTATGTGCGCGTGCCCGGTTAGCTGGCCCATACAGAATGCACGTGCCATGTCCATGCCCATAGTTGCCCCGGAGAGCTTGGTTCCTACAGCGTACACATCCATGCGCCCCGAGTGTTCCTCGTGAAGACTCGGGGCCTGGGGAAATTTCTCCAACTGGGAAGCAGGTTGTGGGCCCTCTTACACAGGTGTGGCATAGTGTCGGGGGCATGTACATGCGTGTGAAATCATTTCCCCGGATAGGAAGCGCTCTTACATCTCCTGCTCCAGTTTTCAGTCCAGGGAACTCCTTAGCAACCGCAGTTCTAGCCCCCCTTCAGAGGCAGGGAAACCAAAGCGAGAAGCTGGTGGTTTATATCTGGATGGGGCTAATTAGGGTAAGAGTTCGGCTCCCTCCCTCCAGGGCACCTTGGTGGACAGGTAGGGGATCCTTCTACAGCAGTTGTGAGCCTGGGGCCTGGGGAGGAGGGGTGCTCTCAGCCAGCCCATCCATACCGTTCCCTTTTCAAACTTGTTGGTGCGGTTCTCTGATTTGCCCAGATACCGCTCCCCGGTGTCTCCCAGGTCTCCGTAGATGGTGATGTAGACCTTGGCGTCTGTTCCGGCCCCGGGAACGTTCCCTGTGTAGATCTGCACCGAGTACAGCACGACTGGGCAGGCGGTGAGTCGGACAGACAGACGGATGGGCAAAGGGGGGAAAGAAAGAGCAAAGACACTTTAGGCTTGGGGGACCTGGAATGTTAGGAGGGACTGAGATCCCCCAGGAGTCTGTGCCCCCAGCTTCCATTTGTTCAGTTAATCGCACGTACACACTCACGTGGGGTCACCAGTAGAAAGTTGTCGCATCTGAGCTGAACCCAGGTTGGCTCTAAAAGATCCAAACGACGGAGACGTTTCTGAGCGTCTCTTAAGTCGTTCAACGCATGGAGGGGCAGCAGGGAAAACTGCCCGGCGAGACGTCTCCGCACTAAATCATCTACCACAACACACTGCTGGTGGTGCACCTTCCCTTTGGGGGCAATGAGATCCAGCCCCATCTTTCACATGGTCTATGAAAAAGGCCCCTCTTTTTGGAAGAATACTTTCCCCTCAAGGAGCCCTGATGGTATAGTGGCTTACAGACGGGGCTGCTAACCACGAGGTCAGCGATTTGAGCCCACGTGACCAGGCTGTCTGTTCCAGGAAAGAGGGACAGCCTCGGAAGCCCACAGGGGCAGTTCTGCGCGCCCTGTGGGGCTGCTGTGAGTTTGACTTACTGTCCCCCCACGGTCCATTCTCTTTCCATTTACTTTCAACCCAGTGTCATCTGCACCTGCTCCATCACCTCATGGAAACCTCTGTCACCAAAGCCACAATGCTCCCGCCCACCTGTCCCCCATACCACCACATGCAAAGGGCTCTTCAGACACTGGTGCGGCCATGGCTTAAAACGATAAAGATTGGCAACGAACAGATAGCTAGGTCCTGGGTCTTGTTAGCTTTTGATTTTGCTGCTCTGCACCCATCCCAGAAGAATAAAGCATCTCCAGTTCCCACCTTCGCTACAGGGAGGGGACACAGATTTGGTGGTTCTATGAAGCCCAGTCCTCTTGGCACTGTCTCAGGTAAGCATTGGACTGCTTAAACCACCAGCTTGATGTTCAAATCTACCAGTCACCCTGGAGGATAGAGATGAGGCTATCTGACCCCCTAAGGAGTTATAGCCTTGGACCGTCTACATAGGGCGGTCGTGAGCGAGAATCAACTTGATGGTAGTATTTGCTGCATTGATCTTTAGGCAGAAAGACCTGGTGATCCGCTTCCGACAACCTGCCAGAAACCCCGCAGTCTGAGCTGCAGCTGGTCAAGAATGCCCACCCAGGAAGTGTTGGAACCCTCGGACAGCGAGTCACCATCAACAGGGGCCTGATTCTTTTGGCAGCTGATGGCCATAGAACATTCTCTGTCCCCTCTTCCTATTGCTCCATCTGAAGAGCTTTTGCGTTTGAGGTCAAGGAATAAGAGACTCGGTTGGATTGTCCCCAATGGGGCGAAGGGGGTTGTTGTAAAAGCTGCAGCTTCCAGGCGAAGGGTGGGAGTGGCCCTCCCTGAGGACGGCTGACCTCCTCAGAGGGGAGAAGTGAGGGCTGTGGAGTTTCCTGTTGCTGTGGTAGTAAGGACCAATCCCACCCCACCCCCCTTGCACCCTTAGACCCAATAGGGAGACGGTGGCCAGAATGATCTGGGGACTTGAGCAAGGAGCTCTGAAGAGCAGAAGATGAGTCTCCTGTCTAAGCCAGGGATTGTGGAGGGCTTTCTGGCCATCGGGGAAATGACATGTGAATGTCACTAACAACCCAAAGCAACAGCAGACCTCCTTAGACTGCCCCTTCCCCCCGTGAGCCCCAGGACTCTTAAACCCCCAAATCCCCAAACCACTCCCAGTGAGTCCATTCCAACTCATTATGAGCCTGTGGGACAGAGCGGAGCTGCCCTGTAGGGTGGGTTTCCAAGGCTGTAAAACCTTTACAAAAGAAGCCAGCTGCCATATTGTTCAAACCAGTAACCTTTCGGTTAGCAGCCTAATGCCTTAGCCACTGTGCTGAAAAGGGTATCCCCTCTCCCCCTGCAGCAACCGAACAGACTTTCCACCCAACCATTGCCGTTGGGCTCAGCATGAGGTTTTTATTAACTGTAAAGACATATGAGCAAGCATGATGTAAGCACCTTGCTCATCACTGTGGCAGTGGGACATAGTCATGTCCACAAAAGGGTCCTTCTTCCCTGGTTTCCCTCGGGTTTCCATGCTGCTCTGCCTCTCTGGATACGCAGTCACGTTAAAGGCTCCCAAGCTCTGCCTTTAAAGCTGCTGCACAAGACCTCTTTAGAGTACTGAAAAGCAAGGACGTTCCTTTGAGGACTGAGGGGCGCCTGCTCCAAGCCACGGTATTTTCGACGGCACCCTATCCACGTGGAAGTGGAGCACTGAATAAGAAAGACCGAAGACCAACCGACACATTGGAAAGGTGGTGCTGGGGGAAGAATGCTAACGGGACAGACAGATCTGCCTCGGAAGAAATATAGCCAGAGAGCTCCTGAGAGGCAAGGATGGCAAGACTTCATCTGACCTCCTCTGGGCATGTTGTCAGGAGAGACCAGTCTCTGGAGAAAGACATCTACTCTACTTCGGGGAGGCAGAGGGGCAGTATAAAAGAGGCGGGCCTTCCAGGCGCTGGATGGACACGGGGTGGCTGTGACGAGGGCCCGGGGACATCCGGGGACATCTGGGAGGAGGACGCAGGGCCCGGCAGTGTTTCCTTTCTATGTGCAGAGCATCGCTAAGGATTGGAACTGACTGGTTGGCACCTAAGGATGACAACCACCTGCCCCCAGGCTGCCATGTGGTGGCCGGCCGGCTGCTACGGTGCTGAAAGCTGTGCCCGACACGCATGGCAGACGGGTGTCCGTAGAGTTTCCGAACGGGAAAGGCCTGGTGGTCTACATCTGGAAATGAGCCGAGTCCGTCCAGGACTGCTTGCCTACAGTCATGAAGGTGACATGTAGGAGCAGGCAGCGTGTCCATCTGCTGTCAGAGGGTGGGGCTGAGTCAGAGTCAGGGGCCACAGCAGGGAACCCCACCCTTTGGCCTACCCTGGGTGGTGCTGTCAGTTGGGCTCCTCCCCCCACCTCCCCTCCCCCGCTCTTGTCCTCACCCCCGGGTGTTGAGTCCTTGACCCTTAGAAGCCCATGTTCCCCAAGCCGTTTCTCCAACCCAGTTTCTCCCACCTTGCCTGGACCCTGAGACAGCAAGTTCACACAGCCACACCTGAACCACCCACTGCTACCTCCCCCTTTCACACACCTTCTCCCCACACACCTACCCCGTCCCTAGAGCCCCATCCAACACCCTGCTGCTCCCCGAAACCTCCCAGGAAAGGAGTGAGAACTGATTCTCACACACCTGCCCTCCCTACTGCCCCCCAAACCAATAAGTGGTCACACCTCCCATCCGGCTCCGTGCAAAACCCGGCCAGCACCTCCCATGCTGCACCAATCAAACGAGAGCTCCCCTTCCTTTTGATGAGATTTCGCACTGCCCGGGTACCTGCCAGGCTAACACTTGGAACTGGTTTGGAGCTCCCACTTGGAATGGGATCACAGCTCCAACACAACAGTCTTAACTGTCTCCCTCCCACCCCGAGGTCTCCCTCCCAGGCATCTGCTGGCTGTGTGCGCAGGCCGGCTGCAGACCCAGAGCAGGCCGTAGCAGAACCCAGACACTGTGGCCCTGCCAGCTTAGTGCTCCTGTGAGGATGGCAGGAGGTCTTTGGCCCTGCTGGCCCCGTGCAGGTGCTGCATCCCCAGTGGTTATGATTACACACCATCCCACCCGCCTCCTCCGCATTCACTGCCGGCTGCAGTCCTCAGGGAGTGAGCCAAATACAGTCAGCTTCTGGGTGCTGAGCAATGCAGTGGTGCAGTCAGAGCTGGCTATTTCTGGGTCCCCACCCCCGCCCACCCCACCCAGGCCATGGCTTGTCAGTGCCAAGACCTTTCCCTAGAAACTCCACCTAGCCCAGAGTGGGCTTGTGCCGTATTATTAATTCAAAACAGGCCAGGTGGACCACCACAACAGCCTGGGATGACCTCTGGGGTCTGGGCTGAAAGGGAGCTTTGCCCCAGATTTAGTAGCCAAAATAAATAAATAAATAAATCAAAACACCCAAATAAGAAGTAGGGGAATGCAAATTATTGAGGGGGCACTTGATTTTATCTCTGAATGGCAACTGAGACCAAAGGAACACCAGAGATAGGTACTGAGGCCTTAATGGGCCCCTCTGAAAAGTCCACTGCTAGAGAGTTCATTCCGACTCACAGTGACACTATAGGACAGAGTTGAACTGCCCCTGTGGGTTTCCAAGGCTGTAACTCTTTATGGAAGTAGAAAGCCTCATCTTTATCCTTTAAGGCAGCTGGTGGTCTTGAACTGCTGACCTTACAGTTAGCAGCCTCTACACCATCATGACTCCTCTCTCTCACTGCCATCGACTCCATGCTGGCTCATAGAGACCCTATAGTACAGGAACTGCCCCCTGTGAATTTCTGAGGCTGTAACTCTTTACGACAACAGAAGGCCCATCGTTCTTCAGAGGAAGAACCACCTGCTGGTGGTTTTGAACTGGAAACCTTGTGGTTAGCAGCCCAACACAGAACCACTATGTCACCAGGACCCCTAGATGAGGCAAATGGTTAAGCATTCAACTATTAGCTGAAAGGTTGGCAGTTCAAACCCACCCAAGGCACCTTGGAAGAACCCGCTAATAGTGGTCTCTTTTCAAGATATTCGCCATTGAAACACCGACAACCGAGCACAGTTCTACTCTCTCACACCTGGGGGTCTCTGCGGGTCAGGATCAGCTCAGTAACTTTGGTCTTTTTAAAAATAGGGGTTCAAAAAGATAAGCTCCATTTGTCCTGTGCTTGCTGACTCTCAGCCCTGGTGGAGCAGGAGTTAGAGTGTTTGGCTGCTAGGCAAGCGTCTCTCTAGACTGTCCCATAGCAGATCTCGGAGCTACTGGGTGGGTTTGGACGGCCAACCTTTCCATGAGCAGCCAAGCACTTAACCATGGAGCCCCCAGAGCTCCATCCACACAGTCCAATAAACAAAGTGCAAGGAGGCCACTAGGGCTGGGATGGCCTAGGCACGGGATAACTCACACCTGAGCGCATGCTTGCAAGGCCTGGGGCTGGCCTGCAGAGGGGAGAAAGAGCTGAGCCCAGACCTTGGGGGGAGAGGGCCCGGACTTTGAAGAACAGCTCAGCTGCCTATTCACTGTGGGAACTTCCGGCAGTCTGTTAGCCTCTTGCTGCCTTTTACAGCATAGAGATAATCATAGGACCTCCTCCTGCAAGAGACGCTCTGCCAGCCCAGGGCTTGCAGGGGGTCAGGGGCTGCCCAGGCTAGTGAGGACAGCCACCAACTTACTGTCCAGAGGCTCCTCTACTTCCTTGAAGATTTGCCTCAGGGATCCGTCCTTCATGTATTTCTCAGTGAAAATGTCGTACGGGACCAGCTCTCGAATAGTCTTCTTGTCATCCTCTGAAGTAGCCAGCCAGCGGTCACAGGGGAAAGTCAAGGTCTCTGACCCCTGGGGTGAGTGGGAGAGAGAAGCATGAGCCCTTCCTGGGCAGCTGCTGACTGACGTCATCCGCTGTCAATACGCAGGAGGACCAGGGCCCCCGCCGATCATGCAAAAGCCACCTGAGAATCCCCGGCCCCCGACCCAGATCCCAGCTGCTCCATCGAGACTTTCAGAACCACATTGAGGGCTGGGTTCTGGGGTTCCCAAAGCTCACTAGAAAATAGCTCTCTGAACCCTATCTGGAAGATTCCATCTCAGTGGCTGTGAGGGGGAGCTCTGGCTTTGTTTTGTTTTCTAATTATTGCAATAGACACACAACATGTACAATCATTCCTCAATTTGGGGCACGTGTAAGTCAGTGGCAGGAATGGCGTTCTTCACCTTGTGCAAGCACCCTTGCTTTGTGTCCTACGGTCCCACCATGAACATACCTTCAGTGCACTCGAAGCAAAGGCCCCTCTGCCCCTGCTCTGGGCACCACCACGGACTTGTGGTGTCTCTGTGTCTAATGATTTCACATCAGCGGCGGCGTGCACTATTTGTCCGGGTGTGTCTGGCGTTTGTGCCCAGTGGAAGGTTCTGTGTTTTTAATTGCACCCCATATCAGCTGAGAACCACTTCCTTGGTGTGGAATGCTGTCATTTCAGAATGTTTCCAACATGACAGAGGGGGTGGGGGTGGGGTCCATTCTGTGAAGATCTAGTGAGTGGACCAGGAGCGGTCACTCACTGTTAGCGTGGCCTCCAGAGGAGGAGCAGAGACATGGCGGCCCACACCCTCCTCTTTGACCATCAACCCGCTTCTGAAATAGTCTTCGTCAGCACCCCTCCCCACACTCCAAGCACACTCACGTCCTTATCTGGGAGGAGCCTGCGGATGTCCACATGGGAGCAGTGCCACCCGGGGTTGATGCCTGTGTTGTCATGGCCAAGACGAATCTTTTCAATGACCTCTCCCACGTCTTCCAGCTTTGGAAAGGAGAAGGCACCGGACATTAGCCCAAGGACTGGGAAAGTACTAACTCAAAATCAGCCTGCCTCCCAAGGACAGACTACCTTCTAGTCTCTTTGAACTTGTAGTATAATCTTCTCCCGCTGTGTCTTCTCTGTCCAGCCAGACAGGCCCACACCCTCCTCTGTACACACCAAATTCATACTTCCTTTCCCTGGGCCCAGCATCTCACCCGCATGGCCTTCAGAAGGCTGTACAGTTCCACTCTTTGTAAGGAACCCACCCTCTTTCAGTATATGCACCTCATTGTATCAGCTCCATCCCTGCTGGAGAGCCCAACTGTGCATCAGAAGATGACTTCTGGTTCTGCCGGTGCCCTACTCTTACGGCATTGACCTTGCCCAAGTCCCTTGGCCCTCCAAAATCCCCCCTTCCTCTCCAGACGCCCATCTTCTGCACTCCCTCAAATCCCAGTCCCCCAAACTTGTCATTTTCTTCCCACAGGACCTTTGACCATCTTGGCCTTACCCTTCCTCCTTCCTCTTCTTGACCCAGGCCTAACCTCAACATTGGGATCTCAGATCTCAGATCGAAGTTCCTTATTTCAGAGGAGTCCCCTTGACAGCCAGGAGGAGGTTCTCATAGCACCCTGCAGCTCCCCCACCCACATGCCCTGCACTCATCAATTCGCACCCCCCAGCCCACCCCCACCGGAAGCCACACGGGGAAGCACAACACTCTTGCTGATCCAAAAGATAGGTCAATGCGGGTGGCCCAGCTTCTCAGTAAGAGCTGGCTGGAAAGCAGGTGCACTCTCACATCTGCAAATGGGCACGAGACAGGTAGCCAGACCATCTCTCAACACGGTGGGGAACCTTAGCCATGATTGCGTGCATGAAAACATCACTGAACGGGGAGGCTGACCCGAGGGTGCCCTTGTGAGCTCCTGAACCCCAGAGACCACCCCCTCATCCCCTCCTGCCCAGGCATTGGGGGGAGGTCACAGGGGAAGGGGTCAGCCAACCCCTCGGCCCCCCTGTGATAACAGTGAGATGACCCAAGGCAAGGCCGTCTTCTCAGCCTGACTCTGCCCCTCTTTCCCTGGGACCCTCCCTCATCCTCCCAGCCGCCCCTCGCAGGGACTTGCTCACAGCATCCCATTCTCCACTGAGAAGAAGTTGTGTTTCGATGAATCCACCTTCCTAAGAGGACCTGGGGCAATGAGAGAATCTGAACGAGATGGCAGAGCCAGGGCCGAGGGCACGGAAAAAGTGACACCAGTTATCAAGGAGCCACCCCTCCTCCTGCGGCCTGCGAGTGTCAGGGTCAAGCTGTGCTCCGGAGGATTCTCATGGCTGGTGTTTAAGACCTACAGCACCTGGCCTTGCTTCCAGGTGGACTCAAACCTCCAACCTCGTGGTTAGCAGCTAAGGTGTGTGAGCCATGTGCACCCTCCAGGGGCCAAACACAGTCGTACCCAGATGCCCTGGCCCGTGAACGGCCCGTGGCATGCAGGCCATGAGGTTTGGCGCAGCAGTTGAGGTGGCGGTTGGTGGGGGCTGCACACTGGAGTTCCCTGGCAGCCCTGCTGTGGATCAGGCTGCCCAAGCCACCCCATCAAGCTCCCAGATTCTCCGAGGAGAGAGCACGGTCAGCCCAGAGTATCTCCGGAGGATGGAGGGCTCTTGATGAGTGAATGGTGCTGAGCCATTAGCCAATGTGGAGCTCTCAGAACCATAGTCAGAAGCAACCTCTTGAAAACCGCAGCAGCTGCCAACCATCAGGCCCCCCCCCCCACATGACCACCCACTGCCGGCGACCTGCAGGGGCCCATCCGCACTGCATTCACAACTGTCCCAACAAGCCACTTGACTCACCCCAGGCCTCAACCTACCCACCTATAAAATGGGGAGACAGGCATCGTGTCCAGCTGAAGGCAGGGGTGTGCGTGCACAGGGTCATTCCCTGAAGTCACTTCTAGGCTTTTTTTGGTCCACTAGACTGTAGTTCTACTTGATCAGCAGGTCCCCACCCCCAACCCCAGACCCACTGCTGAAAACAGTATTAGCAAGAACATCGAAGCTGCTACGTTCTCCCAGCCACGCGCCCACACTTCATCTGAGATGTGAGAATATAGCTCCGAGATGACCTTCTGGCAGGGGAGAGGGCTTTCTCCACGATGACACAGTCTGGTGTTTCCGACCGATGCCCGTCCCTGGACGTCATTCAAAAAGTTATTCCTGCGCACCAGGAGAAGCACGCATACCGTCCGTGAGGACCTTGGCTCCCAGAATCTCCCTGGAGAACGTGGAGCTACCAGCAGAACCAAGGAGTGAGGATTCATCGTCTTTCTCCCTCTGCCTCCCTGCTCAGCTCCTCTCTCAGAGACTGGAGGCGAGAGCTCCTAAGACCGGCATCACCCAGCGGCTCTGTGGGGTAGGAGGTGGGTGACAGGTTGGTCTGCTCATCCATGGCCCTCCGAGGGCAAGGAGGCCTTCCAGGGGGCGGGGGTGGTCTGTGCGCTCCAGGGGCATCAGGGACGGGCGCAGAGAGACCCTCGCGCTCTCCAGAGAGGTAGTACACGGGAAGCAGTGCAGGTGCCGGGACCGAATGCTTACATTCAAGTCCCAACTCGCCGTTCTTTGATGGGGGCACCTGGCGTGCCTCACAGAGCTCTCCTGTGCTCCGTTTCCTCACCTGTGAAGTGGGGCATTCCCAGAGCCTCCCTCTAGGCATGACGAGGATCCAGCGAGCTGATATGCATGAAGGTTTAGAACAGGGCTGGCGTGGGGGGCAGGGGGGGCGAGGACCAGAACAAGCTAAACCAACCCAGTGGTGCTCGAGCGGCCTCTGACTCATGGTGATCCTGGGTGCCACAGGGCACAACTGAGCCCATGGGGCTTGCTTGGCTGGCATCTTTAAGGAAGGAGCTGCAGGGGGTCAAGGGCTCACCACTCGACTGCTACCAAAAGGTTGGCCTTCAAACTCCCCAGTGGCTCTGTGGGAGAAGGCCGGCATCTGCCGAGGAAACTGGCTGGGAAGCTCGACCCTGTCACAGGAGAGCCGATTCAACAGATTCAACAGCACCGACATCGGATCTTCATGGTAGCCACCCTCCTGACCTTTCTTCCGTGACCCCATTGGGAGGGTCCAAAGCGCTGACCTTTGGGTTAGTAGTTACATGCAAACCATGCTCGCCAGGGACCTAATGATATTAACTAATGATATTACCGAAGTTTTCCTCTCCAAACCAAACGCACGGCCATCAAATGGACGCCGACTCCTAGAGCCGACAGGACAGAGGAGAACTGTGCCTGTGGAGTCCCAAGACTGTGACTGCTTACGGGAGCAGAAAGCCCAGCCTTCCTCCCACGGAGAGGCTGGTGGTTGCGAACTGCTCACCTTATGGACTGAAGCCCAGTGAGTAACCACCACACTGCCAGGGCTCCTGAGATTTTCCCGGCCCTTTGTCTCAGGATGAGGCTGCAGGCAGGGAGTTAGTGGCTGAGCCAGAACCCAAGCCCAGGGTGATGGATTCAAAATCCACCCCCACCCCCCACCCCGAGGTCAATTGGAAAAGAGACGTGGAAAGAGAAGAGACAGATAGAGGGACAGGCATTAGGAGACAGACCTTTTTCACTTGTTTGCCAGGCTCTCATACATCCCCAAGACCCAGAGAGATGCGAAAGGAAACAACAACAACAAGCAACCAATGACTGACCAACTCTAGCTGCCTATTAATGCGGACTTCATTGAGAAAAGTCCCCGGAAATCATGCTGAGCTGTGATCACAGCTCTCAGCCACTGACGGCTTCGGGCTCGGGTGAGTCATGCACCAAGATGTCCAGGGTGGTGGAGATGTGGGCAGGGTGTGGACAAATTATTCACCCTGGACTTTTCCTTGCTGAAACACTCAGGGAAGGTGGCAGACCTTCCCATAAGTGCTGGCAACTCCCAGTGGCAGCGAGGAGGGAGCAGGGAGTCCCCCGGGACACAGTCTCCCACCAGGAGACCAGGTACTTCTGTCCTGCTCACTGCCATCGGACCAAGGCTGATGCGTAGCAACCCTATAGGACGTGGTGGAACGGTCCTTGTGGATCTCCCAGACAGGTCACTCTCGACGGGAGGAGAAATTATCATTGGTCTCCCAAGGAGCGGGTAGTGGTTTCAAACTACTGACTCTGTGGTTAGCAGCCCGATGCGTAACCACCATGCCATCAGGACTCCATAGAAGATAAGGAGCAACTTCTAAGCCCCCCACCACCCCAAGCTGGGGATCCCAGGCTCTGGGGCTCCTGGCCTCTCTGTTCCAGGGTCGCCCTGTCTTGCCTCCTTTAACCCCTGCCCCTCCCCACCTGTCTGCCACTGCGTCATACTATGGTGGCTTGCATGTTGCTACAATGTGGGAAGCTGTGCCACGGGTCTTGCAAACACCAGCAGGGTCACACCCTGTATATTTCAGTAGAGGTTCCAGGGCAAGACACACTACGGAGAAAGGCCTCCTTTCAAACGACTCTGGACAATTAACCATCGAGAACTATGATCCCAACAGAATATCCCAGTACGGTGCTAGAAGGGGAGCCCTAGGTTGGAGGCATTCATAACCCACAGCCGTTGCCGCAGTGGGCACGCACACCAGGGGTGAAGATGGCGAAGGACCAGTCTACTACACCTATGGCTCCCCAGGAATTGGAGCCCACTGACCACAACATCCTTGTGCCATCGTGCTCCTCTGGTGGAGAGGAGCCTCCGATCGCACGGCATGCTCATTCCCACCTCTGGCCCCGCCATGCTGCTCTCGGGGCTAGGACTACCTCTGGGCCCTCATCTGGATTATCCCTCCGGTCCAGCTCAGAGTCTCCTCTTCCAGAGAGCCCTCTCCCTTCACCCCTGGCTGCCGTGAGCTGATCCTTTCTCAGAATACCTGTAGCACTCTCTGCCCCCCCATCACTTGCCCTCCCCCCCATTGGCCAGCCAACAGTCACAAAGCCCTTGTGCTCGAGCTACCTCCTCTTGAGTTGAATCCCACATCCATCATGACCCAGCTTTGAAATGTTAAGCACGGTACGAAATGTCCCATCTCGGATTCCCCATCTTCAAGCAGGGATAATTACGGAGTCGTTGCAGGGCTACGTGAGCTAATGTAGGCAAAGCCCCATGACCGTGCCCATGGGGTCAGTTATGATGAGGAAGACCAGACTGCGATGGTCTGTGGGCCCCAACTAGACTGCAAGCCCTGTAAAGGCAGGACTCAGCTCCTCGCCTTGTTCTGCCCACTGACCAAGCACACAGCTGGGCAGGCAGGGGAAGCACAATAAGGAGGCAGTAGATTGGCATGCTCAGGATGCCAGGGGATCCTGAGCCACCCACACACCCAGGCAAACACTAAATCTCAAGCCCGCACCCCCAGCCTGATGGGGACCTCGCAGCACACTGGAGGGTCTTCTGTATCACGCTTGGCTGCACTCTGAGAGCTGAGCCGGGAACCAGCTGACCCAACCCCTTTGAAATAGCGGGTGGTGGGATGCCCGGCTCCCCCAGCAGCCCAGGGCTGCCCCATTGAAGTTGTGCCTCAAATTTTCTAAAGCCATCTGTACTCCTCCCCTCGATCCTGACCACCGTCCCAGAGGAAGGAGCCTGGCAAGGGGCACTGCCCTCACAGTGACGTGGGTGCTCTGAGCAGGTATGTTCTGTCCCTGAAGTCAGGGACTTTGTGCCCACTCTGTGGCCCCCTGGCCCTCATTCCTGGCTCCCGCCGAGCCCAGGTACCTCCATGATGAAGCGAGAGGCAGACTTCCTCTCAAAGAACAGCTTCTGCTCCCGCTTGTTGGTGCACAGGTACTTCTGCTGGGTACACACGGCGTCGCAGCCGTAGATGACGATGAAGATGTTGGCATCTGTCCCGGCGGCAAAGACGTCGCTGGTGTAGAGCGTGATCTCATAAGGGACAACTGAGGGTGGTGGCCAGAGGGCAGTACAGGGGATGTGAGGACAGAAGACAAGCAAGGGTGAGGGCAAGTCCTTCCCACAGCAAGGCCTCCCTACTCAGGCCCTGGACCACTCTGTGGTTGCCTAGCAACCGGAGGTGGCCACCCCTCTCCAGCATCCTTCGCCCTCAGACCAGGGTCTCTGCACTTCTCCCACCACAGAGCGGGCGCAGCAGACTGGGTGAAGCAGAGGCTCTTGAGCCGGACAAGGCTGGGCGTGAATCCGGGCTCTTTGTCCCCAGCAAGTTTCTTCGGGACCCTCAATGTCCTGATCTGTAAAAGTCCTCACAGTGGGGCTTAGCAGGAGCTACTCAGTAAACAAGAGCACTGCATTTTGGGGAGATCGGACCAGCCAGAATCCTTCAACCCACCCTCAGCCCTCGCTTGCTCCAGGCGGGTCTGCCCTTTCCCACCCAACCGCATGGCTCCCGATCCCTCGTCAGGCTGGATGCAGAGGGGGGCCTTACGGATCCCTCCCTTCGGCTCCCTCACTTTAAGAGCTTTAAGGGATAGGTTAATAGGTAGGCCCACACGCTCAGCTGCTAACTAAAAGGTTGCAGGTTCAGCTCCACCCAGAGGTGCCTCAGAAGAAAGGCCTGGCGACTGTACCTCCGAAAAACTAACCCCTGCCAGCCCTGTGGAGCCCAGCTCTGCTCTGCACACGGGGTCCCTGTGTGTGGGGGGGTCAAAGCCGCTTGGGTTTCCGGAGGGGAGACACGGAAGACAGGGATGTGACAAGGTCCGCTCACTTTGGCAGAAAACAGTCGACTCCCACCAGGAGCTGCCTGCCTGTGACAGAGGTGGGCCCACCAGGGCCCAGCAAGCCACTCCCAGCATGCCTCTGCAGGTGGGCCTGAGGGCCTCTTGCTCCAAAAACTCTGGGGGTGCTTAGGAGAAAAATGCAGATTCCCAACCCCCTCCCCAGATGCCCTGCAGGGAGAGCCAGGGATTCAAGTCTTTATCTCTCACTTTATACTCTCACTGGAGGCCAGCGGTCTGAAATGGTGTGTGCCCCCCACGGGGGGAGGCCCACCGGCAGGGCTCGGAAAGGACCCGGGGGCTGTTAGCGGTCGTTTTTAAATGTGCAGCACGGAATAGTAGCAAACAGAAAATACCCTGTGCAGTGGGCACGACAAGCTTCCTGTTTTACAGGTGAGAAAGCCAAGGCTCCGAGAGGTAAGGTAGCTTGGTTAAAGCCACGTGGCTAGTCAGTGGTGGAACTTGAACCCAGGCTCGTCTGACCCCCACACCTGGGTGGTCCAGCTCTTGACATGCTTCCGTCATGGATGGGAGATAAGCACTGCCGACTGGCCACCAGCCACAGGGAGGTGACCCCACCATGGCCTGGATCGGGCCCTGGAGCTCGGCGGGCTTCCACGGAGGGGCAAGACGGCCCTGGAGTCCTCCTTATCTCGGGCCCGGTGAATCTCCCTGCCACACGCCTGGGAGACTGGGTGCAGAGAGGCTGGCCACGGGAATCACTTGGAGTTGGCTGGCAGTGGCAGACACCCTCAGCTGACCTTGCATCAGGCCTGGCTCCAGACCGGATTCCCGGTGCCTGGCTCTGCCTGTGTCTTTGGACCACCGTGTGCCCTTGGCAAGGCAGCTTCACCTACAACATGAGGGGGGTCAACTAGATCTGTGGTGGTCAGTGTTGTTTTTTAAAACAGGAATTCTACACACATGTAGATGAGGAAAACCCAGAAAAGACGAGTCTTCAAAGCTGCGAGGAGCCCTGATGCCGTAGTAGGTGGCACAAGGTCAGCAGTTCAAAACCACCAGCTGCTCCTCAGGAGGAAGAGGAGCCTGGGTTGGTGTTCTATGTTAGTGGGGTGTGAAGGTGTGGAGGGGCTCCCCACTGGCAGCCTTTCCCTCCTGCCACAAGGCTCCACCTTCTGCCGGAGATGCTGGGAGCTGAGGAGGCTCCTCAGGGGTAAGGAGGACCGAGTCACACTGTGGAGCCTCAGGACATCCCCACGACAGGTCCCTGCCCTCCCTCCCCCTCCTACGTGGACAGTACATGTCTGTCGGTCCACAGACAGCTCCACCAGGTCACCAGCTTTGTGGTCTTGGGCACACTGGGCAGCTTGCAAGGCTGCCAAACCTACTTACAATCTAAAAGTCAAACAGCAGCAAACCCACTGCCCGATTCACTGCTAGCAACTGCCCCAGGGTTGTCTGGGCCATCTTCTCGGCAGAAACTGACCGCCAGGCCTTTCGTCAGCCGCCCTGCTGGACGCATGGACACAGCCAACTTTGTGGGTAGCACCTGCAAACAAGCTGTTTCCCTCCCTCCCTGGGCCTGCAGCTCCTGGGTCCCTGGAGATCCCTGGCCTGAGTCCCAAGAGACGGTCACCAGGCAGGAAAGGGACCCTGCGCAGCAGCTCCCCCGGCCTGCCCTGTGCTCTCACCAGCCAGCACACTTCTTCAGCGCCCGGAAGCTCGCCGCCGGGCCTCGGTCTGCAGAGCTGAGTCCTCGCTGACCTTTGCTCTAATTCAGTTTATTTAGTTAGCTGTTTTTCTTTGAAGGCGGGTGTGAGCTCAGAGCACATGGTTTTCTTCTGATGACAGGCTAGAACTGACTAAGTCCAAGTCAGGCCACAAAAATTAATTTCTTTCTTTCATCTATCGTTCCTCCCTACCCCCTCCTCCCTTCCTTTCTCCTTTCTCTCTCCCTCCCTCCCTCTCAGTTTAACAGATAAGGCCGATCCTGGCATCACCGCCATGTGGAACCCTAGTTCTAATCAGCCCCACCTGGCACTTCCCCCATGTAAACGGGTAGCTCTGTCCTTCTGGGTCCCCTCCACACTGCCGCAGGCCTGTGCACCTGGGGAGGGTCCTAATCTAGATCACATGTATCCCCGGGGACAGTGGTGGTGGGGGGGAAGCGGACAGGAAACTCAGTCAGAAGGTCTACTTGACCCATACCTGGCCTAGGACTTTACTAGGGGGACATGCCTCCCTTTCTTAAACTTTTGCCCGGAAAACATTGTGGCAAGCTGGTCATTTCTAGTTAATCGCCTTAGCCTTCCGCTATTTCAAAAAACAAAAACGACTTATCATAACCCAGAGTGTTTAAGAATAAGTTGTTGGAGGAAAATACTTTGGCACCACTGGGTATTTCGTCGGGGAGCCTGGGGGGCAATGGTTAGATGCTGGGCTGCCACCCAAAAGCTTGGAGGTTTGAAGCCACTGGCCGCTCTGCGGAAGACACGACCGGGCGCACCTCCATCACAATGACCGCTCAGGACTGCCGGTAGGACAGTCCCGCTCTGTGTCCCAGGGCCGCAGGGAGCTGGGATCGTCAGAACGGCACACATTGATGATGGAGTTAGAGAGGAGGCAAAAACGCCTCTGGGTTTGGTTTACATTTCAGCAAATCCAGAGAGAGCTTTATAGCCGGCTTGATCTCAGGTTGAGTCCCAGGATCTAATACAGGGACAGCTAGACATACATAACCATGTAATTAATATGTGTCTTCTGGGGATGGTGGTGCAACTCAAAACCAAACGCCCTGCCATCAAGTGAAAGGATAGGGACCCTGTAGGACAGGGTTGAACTGCCTCCATGGGTTCCTTATGGGAGTAGAAAGCCTCGTCTTCTCCTGCAGAGTGGCTGGTGGTTTTGAACTGCTGACCTTGTGGTTAGCAGCCCAACGCATAACCACAGTGCCACCAGGGCTCCTCGGTGGTAGAAGGGGAGTGTCAAATCCATCACCAACTATCCTCCTTCCTCTTTTCTTGAGCCTGGCAAGGTGAGGACACCCACCTCCTTTCCCTGCCCCCACCCCCAAACCAGGACAGAAACGTAGGTGACCTCTTTGAGGTGCTAATGACCGCAGGAAGACTGCTCCCTGAGGGCCCAGGCAAAGGGACTCCTACATGGTGTGTAGCGCCTGGTCTGCAGCTCTGCGTGGAAGAGGTCCCTGACGATGGCTCCGTCGTCTTCATTCTTGGCCAGCCAGCGGCCACAGGGAAACGTCATGCACTTTCCAAGAGACGGGGCATCCACCTCCACCCAGTCCACAAACCAGCCCGGAGCTTTGCCTGTAGGGAGAGGAGGGGAGCCCTGCAGGACATTGGAAGGGGCCAGTTCCTGGGGCTCCAAACACCCTTTCCTGCCTGCAGGCGGCAGCCCACAAGGAGCCTGACATCCCTGGAACTTACAGCCCTGTCAAGCCATCCTTGTCAAAATACGCACCCAGCTGCAACTGGAGCGGCTCCAGGCTGCTGGCAGGGAAAGTAACAAAAGAGAGGTGCCAGGGGAGCAGATGACAGGAGAACAGAGGCGATCTGAGGGGAAGGCCACTCCAGGGCAGGGGAGACTGCGAACAAGGAGGAGGGAGGGGGGGAACTGTAACAGAGATGTTATAATTCCACCGAAAGACAGGGTGGCACACCCGGCTCCCGGGCCTCCTTGTGACGGATGAAAAGAGGGGAGGGGAGGGGACAGGAGAGCAAGAAAGAGGGGGACATGATGGTCCTCCCTGGGAAAACCAGCGCTCCAGCTTAAAAGGAGGACATGGCAGCCAGGCCGAGAACTCTGCCCTGGTGCTAGGAAAGGGGTCCCCTTCCTTAGGGTTAGGAGAGGTGGTTTGGGAGCAAGAAAAACAGTCCTGCCTTACTCAGCCCCGGAACTTGTGACTGGTTGGCATGGGAGTGGGCTCCAGGATGGTTTGACCAGACCAGTGCTGCTCAGAGGGTGGCCCCTGCACCCGAAGCGTCGGCATCACCAAGGACTTGTGAGAGATGCAGATTCTTGGGCCACAGCCCAAAGCTACGGACACAGAGGCCCGCCAGCCATCCGCACACTCAGAGCGAGGGCAGAGAGTCCCAAACCCAGCCGTAAGAGAAGCCTTCCCCACCGGTGTCCAGACCCCACCCAGCCCCAGAGGACCAGCATCTGCTCTTGGCCAAGGCCCCGCTGGGCTAGAGGGAGGGAGGCAGCTGTGCTGTCGGGGATGGAAAGCAGGAGACCCCCACCCCCACCCCCCAGGACCTTTGCCAGAAGGAAAATCCATCCGTTCTCCCCACCCTCTCCCCTCCAGCCACCACCCTCCCCCTTCGCACACACACCCCCCATCTGTGCCCAGGTTCTCACAGGGCCCTGTCCCAAGGCCTTGCCTGCTTAGTGGGGACAGAGGGCTTGAAGCCAGACCTGTGTTGTCATGGCCGATCCTGATTTTCCACAAGTCGCCCAGGTCCAGCGTCTCCACTGTGAAGATTTCGGTGCTGTCCCGCTCAAACTTGTCGCTGTTGGTCTTGGAGGACTTCAGGAGGGTCATTCCTGTTGACCAGATGAAGACACACCACCCCCCATGACTGACTGGGCCTGAGGCCTTGCGCACCTGTGCTGGCCCATCCCACGAGCCCCTCCGCAGAAGGACCACATCTCTGAATGCCTCTCACATTTAGAGGAGGCACTGGGAACTTTGCACATTTGGCATTTTGAGTTTTGCTTTGTTTTTGTTTTTAAACAGAGCTCTACACTGATTTGTCGATTGTTTTTAGAATTCCTAATTCTTTCCCTCTAGCTTCATCATGCCTTGGCAGACCCGTTAAATAAAAATAATAATAAATTGCTGTGAGGAGTCGCTAAGTTGGCTCCGACGCTCAGTGACCCTATCTGAGTGCCACAGAAGGGGCAGGTCCTGCCCTGTGCCATCGTCAGCATTGTGCTTGTGTTTGAGCCCACTGCTGCTGCCCGGAGGAAAGCCTTCCTCTTTTCCTGCCCCTTTACTCGACCCCAGGCTCCAGGCTCTGGGCATAAGTGTTACTCATCCTAAATGAGCTGTAGGTTCAATTTTGTTATATTTACAACTCTATGGGGTACAAGTCTACAGACAGCGATCCTGGTGAAGAATATCCACTAGACCCCAGACTGCCAGACGGAAGAGCAAGTCTCCTGCAGAGGGTCCTTGAAGCTCATTGGCAGCAGCTCACTGAGGGGGGAAGGAGCTAGAGGGCTTGGGAGGCCTCGCCACCGTTCAAACAGAAGATACAGAGACAGGACCATGCATTGTTTAGACCAGGAGCTCATTGTGGGCTAACAGATTTCCACCTTCAGAAAGGACACCGGAAATGGTAAAAAGCTTTCTGAAAGGCCTAGAATTAATACTGACCATTGGAACGGGCTTGGAACGGGCATGGTTACCTAGGGAGGAAGGTACTGAGGGAAAGGTGATTCAGGTGGTTTCTACACAAAGGTAGGGTGGTAGAGGGCGCTACAAAGACTTGAAAGAGCCAACAGGGGGGTGTGCAGGAGGGACTTAGGGAGCTGCAGGAAGGATTTCCTAAGGACTGACTGCCACAAGCCAAGTAGGCAAGTCACCTCATGTAGAGAGGTTGAGGCAAAAGAAACCGCCTTCCTGGGACAGGGCTGGGTGCCTGCTCTCTGTGGAGTGGGCGGCAGAGGCAGGAGCCAATGGCCTTGGAAACTGTGCCGAGTCTCCCAGCCGCCCTGGGCGAGCGTGGCCAACCTCAGCCCGGCGTTGCCCCCTTACCATTGTTGTCCTTGGTGCCAAAGAGTGTGAGGAAGACGTTGGCATCCGTGCCCGCGTTCTTCTTGTCCCCAGTCTTTATCGTCACCGAGAACGTGGTCGATTTATCTGCCGGGAGAGGAGGGTGGGAATGTGAGCAGGAGGCTGCTCCCCTCAGGAAGGGAGCGGGGGCGGAAACCACCTGGTCTAAGAGCCTCCTGGAATTCTCACACCAGACTCCCTCATCCCAACTCCTCCTACATCTGAGATGCATACGATCCTGTTGGCCATTTTCTAGGGCCCTCTTCCCTCGCCACGGCGTGACTTGTCTGTGGCAGCCTTGAGTCGGGCGAGCTCCCGAGCGTCGAGACAGTCTCTCCTAACTGACTCACAGGGGAGTGGGTCCTTGGTCCCTCTGAGTGGATAGACTGGTAACGGGAGACTTGGGGTGCCTGGGATTGTTATCCGGGAGCCCTCATCTGACTCCTGCAGATTGACAGGACTTTCGGGGATGTTGATTCCTGGGAAGAAAGCTCAGGCTTCTAGAACTCTTGAAAGTCACTTCTCATTCTTTTCCTTGACACACAAAAAAGGTCCAAACAGGAAAAGAGGCAAGGACGAACACCTCATCCTTCCCCGTGGAGCAGCAGGTGGGTGTGGACTGTTAGCAGCCCCACGTATAAGCCAGTACCCCACCAGGGCTCCTGACAAGGATGTCTGGCGAGCCTATGATGGGCCTGGCAGGGAAGACACAGGACTGAATCAGAACAGGTACAACCAGTCCTTCCCGTCATCCTCCACTCTGCCCAACTCTTCCCCAGTCTAGTCTCCTCTCCTAGTCCTGGCTCCATGATCAGTCCTGGAAGTTATTCCCAACCGAGTGGGAATATGCTCCCCCTCCCCTCCCCATCCCAGTCCACGGAGGAATGAGAAGGAAGAACAGACACGCGGCCCGAGGAGGAAGCACCCGTAACCCACAGGGGAGGGCAGGAAGATGGACAGACAGGGAGGGCAGGGCCCGAGCTGCCCTCCCGGATGGAGGAAGAAAGCCGCAGGGGACAAGGAGCTGCATGGAGGACACCTTTTTGCTCCAGGGCCAGGTTGTCGAGGGGGTTGCTGTCAGCTCCCCCACCCTCCTCGTCTTCCGGGGGCAGCACGTAGGACTCGTCCACTGGCAGCAGCTCCCGGGACAGCTGCCCATCATCCTCCTCCACCGCCAGCCAGCGCTGGCAGGGGAAGTAGTACCTGTGAGGCAGAAGGTTCCGGAAGACTGAGAATGTCCTGGTGGGGCGGCCTCTCACAGGAGCTCTCACGGGCTCAGCGATGAGATGACCCTCACGGGGTCCCGGCTGCCCCCGCCCCCTCCAGTAGCATTGCCTCCCATCCCACCCGGCCGGGGAGGGCCCCAGCAGAGCCTCTTTTCTGGACCCTAGTCGACCGTCAGTAGGAGTGACGGTGACCAGAAGTATCTGGGAGAGGAGCTTAGTTATGGGTGGGTGCCTCTCACCCGTTCTGCTGTTATCTGTTACCCAGGACTACTTCAGCAGATAATATTGCAGACAGTAGGCTTTCAATACACAACTGCTGAATTGATGGGGTGTAATGGAGTCACCCGATCATGATTTTTATTTCAGAAGGACAAAGGGTCTGAAGGACCAGCACGGCAGGTAGCTGGACCATCAGAGGCCACGAGGTCTGAGTTAGATTCTTCAGTATAAGGTCAGAGTCCCGCACAGAACAGGCCCCCAGACGGAAAGAGAAGGCAGAAGCAGGGATGAACAAGCCCACAGATGTGGCCATTAAGGACCCCTGTCTCTGGAGCCAGCCGGTCTGGCTGTGAATCCTGGCCCGGCCACTTAGAGCTGTGTCACCGTAAGAGCATGTCTTCACATCTCTGGGCTAGGGTAGCCAGATTCAGCAAGTAAAATTACAGAATTCCCAGTTAAATTGAAATTTCCAATCAACGACGAATCGTACATTTTTCCCCCCAAATAAGTATGCTTCATTCAGGATGGGGCAGTCGGCACTAAAATATTATTTGTTGTTTCTCTGAAATTCAAATTGAACAGGGAGTCGTGCATTCTACCTGGCGACCTGACTCTGTGCCTCGGTGTACCACGTTGCAAAGCAAGGCAAACAGTTGCTTATTTCATACTTTGCTGCAAGGATCAAACATGCGAACGATGGGAAGCATCGTTATACAAAGGCCTGGCTCAAGGTAGACGCCAGAGAAGAATGCTCTGCTGATTATCATTGTTGTTATTATTTTATTTCCCTTGCCTTCTCCTCAGCCTCCGGCTGGGCTCCCTGGAGCCCCTTCTTCTCCGCTGGCACCTAAGCTCCAAGGACAACCCATCACATGTGAGACGCTGCCCTTCTCTAAGGTGAGCTACTCTTCCTCCTCTGGCCCCCTTTCCCATCCCTGACTGGGGCATCAGGACCATCCAGTAACCAGCCACTGCCTGGAGATGCGGGAGGCAGTAGAGCTTGAGGATCTTGCCTGCATTTGAGCCCATACTCCCTCCTACAGGCCTCCGCATCTGCTAATTCTCTACATGCTAGAGACGAAGGACCACAGAGCTCAGTCCTTAGGCTCAGGTGGAAGCAATTTTATACCGCTGAGTGTGAGTTTAAAGGGCAGGCAAAGTTCAATCCAGGGCACTGTAAATTCGATTGCAATGAAGTTAGTGCTTAAATGAGAAATGTATACTGCTCCACTTTCTAGCCTTGAAACGCATGAATGGGGACATCAACGTTTTATTCAACAAAATAGCATATAAATAATAGGCTTTCATTCTAAATTATGGCCAATTAAGGATGAGCTAGAAAGAGGGGAGGTGGAATAAGGGCAGAGGCAGCAGACACAATGAGTGTGGGAAGGTGGAGGACAAAGGTAGAAGGAGCAAGACACGCAAAGAAAGAGCCAAGGCGACATACAAGCAGAAGGGACGAGTCATACGCCCACCCCCGTGCACAGAGCCGAGTGCACACAGAGTCAGCGCCTGGTTTTCAGGGAACACAATCCTCCTCCTCCCTGAGATGCCCACGCGGAGACTTCCAAGTCACTCAGCTTGCGCGCAGCTGCGGGAACAATGAGCAGATCTCCTCTCAGTGCCGATTCCTTGGGAAGATGGCCTCAGAGCAGACACCAGGGCCCACCTGAGTGCTGGACACAGTACTCACAGAGCCAACAAGCACCCTTTAAGGGTTTCCCTGGAGACCGGTGCTTCTGGCCTCTTCCCCTCCTTCCCACAGGCCTAAGAGCGGCTCAAGCAGGCCTCGGGTGCAAGGGAGGGCAGTGGGGAGGGCAGTGGGGAGGACAGTGGGGAGGGCAGTGGGATTCTTTAGGAAGAAAGGAAAAAGAGATAGGCTGGTGTTCTGGGACATAGAGACCCATCATGCCACTTAAGCACGGGCAGAGGTGAAGGGAAATAGGGCTAGCAAGAGGTTGAAGCTGAGTATGAAAATAAAACTAGGAAGTATTAAAATACAAATTTCACTTGAAAGTCAAAATTGAATGAGTAGATTGTGAAATTGAGCGATGTGAAATTCAAATGATTTCACGTGAGGTTTTCCATTTCTACGCATAAGGGAAAGGCTGAATAATATCAAAGTCGTGATGTCAGTCAAGTGGCCCAGGGAAAAAAGCAGGGGTGGTCTGTCCCTAACAAGGCATGGGGTCTCTAGGGCTTCCCCCTCATCGACCAGAAGGCTGAGAGGTGGTCTGCAAGGTCTTTTCTGCCTCGATGGTCTATGGGCCCCGTGATTTAGAAAGAAATTGGAGTCCCAGAAAACATTTTCTCACTAGATCAAAGTAAGAGAGAAGACAAATCCAACAACATTCTTATTCATTCCTTACTGGAAATCCCACCCCACAGTTTTGCCAAATGTCATGGAATCGAGGACATTTGTCTTTAATAGTTAGGGGTCCTACGGGCTCACAAAGCCATCCACAGGAACAGGAATTGTTACCTCTCAAGGGTGAAAACAGAGACAATCAGATGATAAGTTTGAATGTGGACAGAACTCAGTTAAAAACCCAATAAGGGTCTAACTTTGGGGCATGTACTTGTTCCTCTTTGAAGCTGATCACATTCTGTTTTACTGCACAGCGAAAATGCAGCTAGTTACAGTCTTCAAGGGGAAAAGGAGACACAGCACATACCCATTTAATCGCCAAATCGACAGATGTAGAAAAGGCAAGAAAGACACTGAGCCATAAAGAAAGCTGTTTGGTCTCTGGGCAAGGTATCCCATTCCCACCCCACCCCCAAGATCCTGCCATCCCTGTCATCTGTTCCAAGACCCATACATTCGAGACGTAGAGCTTTGGGAGTTGGGGACTTTGAAGTTTTAAGTTACTTGTTAAAATAAATTCTCTGGGTTCGAAGGTAGCTTTAAGAGTGTGTGATTTTGGGTGTGATTTTCACATGCCATTTCCATTACCGGGCTCATGTTGTTAGGTGTGGCCGACTCATTTCTGATTCACAGCAACCCTGGGTGCAACTGAAGGAAACACTGCCTAGCCCTGTGGGAGCCTCACCATTGTCTTTTAATTCTATTTTCCCACAAACGTTTGAAGTATATGTATTAATTATACCTCACCACCAGCAAGTCAATTCTGACCATAGTGGAATCTTCACGGGAGCAGACAGCCTCATCTTCCTCCAATGAAGCAGCTGGTGGATTTGAACTGCTGACCTTGCTGATGGCATCCCAATGACTAGCCCACAGGGCCACTCCAAAGATAGATAGATAGATAAAAACTCACTGTCATGGAGTTGATGTTGACTCATAGCCACCCTATAAGAAAGGGTAGAACTGCCGCTTTAAGTTTCCAAGACTGTAGCTCTTTACGAGTAGAAAGCCTCATCTTTATCTTGTGGAGTGGCTGGTGGTTTCAAACTGCTCACCTTGCAGTTAGCAGCCCCCTGCATAACCACGATGCCACCAGGGCTGCTACAGTACCACTGGGGCTCTTTATAGTGTATATACATGCATTGTTTTCAAATGACTGGTCACTTGAGGGATGATAAAGGAAGAGGTTGCCCAGAGAGCGCATGTCTGTATGTTTCACTGGGTGTCTCACTTGTTAGGCAAGTCCTCCAGGACCCTGTCTGTCGTTCGCTAACGTGTCCACAGTGGCGGCGTGCACAGGCAGTCACCAACATCGGTAGAGTTGAAAGACATCTTCCAGGTGGAACCTGTCCTCCTTCAACATTCCTCTGAGCCATCACTGTTCCCGCGAAGATGCAGCGTTGCTGGAGCCCCTAGGGAAGGTCTGTAAAGGGCAGTGTGGGAAAGACCAGCATGCCTCACTCCAAACGCGTCGTGACCATCCACACAAAGCTCAACAGTTTCTTTGACTCCAATCTTTTCAGTTTTTTTGACTCCAACTTCTTTTTTTCAGGCTGGTCAAGGTATGAAACACCCCCAGAGAGAGAAGTCAGGGGGTGTCCAGAGAGGAAGACCGGGAACTTCCAGACTCTTGTGAAATGCGGGAGCCGTGGTCCTCCTCCCCTAAAGAGTGAGAGGCCGTGTGCTGTTGTCTCCCTTCCCAGGTGGCACCTTGTCGGTTCCGGCACTTAGCACGGCGCGTGAACAGCTCGTGGCCGACTTCGCAAGTAAATGGATGCATCGATCACCGTTTAGTTCCCTCAGTACACACAAGGGTAAGTCAAAAGTATTGCCGCAAAACCACAGAAACCTTTAACCAAAAAAAGCAAACTAAGAAGTTATGGTTCTCCCTCGTGGCCCCCCTCTAGGTGCCCAGCGTCCTTCAGAAGTGCTGGTCTCCTCTCCCAAACCCTTCCGGAGAATTCTAAGCCCTTGGACTTGTCAGAACGGTGGGCTTGCCGTTCTCGAGGGCCTCAAACCACCGTCCTTGCCAACGTGCTTTGAGCCTTGGCAGGAAAACAAACCAAAATCAATGTCTGATGGGCAAAATCAGGGCTAGAGAGCAGGTGGGGCCCCGTTACCCTCGAAAAATGAGCCAGAGCATTGTCCAGATGGCAGACATTTTTCAGCACCACTCTCCTGGCATTGTCCCCGCTCACCAACGCGGTTTCCAGTGTCTGAAAACTTCTCCGTTTTACGCTCTCACGACCACTCTGTGTCCTTCAAGAAAATCCACAGAGATTCCACGGAGATTCCACCATCACCGTTTGAGCTGGCCCAGAAAATTCCCTGAGAAGCCACTTTGATTGGACCTTTTTTTTAAATTAATCATTTTATTGGGGCTCATACAGTTCATCTCAACCCATGCATACCTACATCGTGTCAGGCACGTTTGTACATCCAGGCCCACGTGTTACCAAGAATAAAGTGACTGCAGCCGTCGACTGACGACAGGGACATGTCTGCACGTATTTGGGTTTGATAAGCAGGTGTGCACTGGAACCCCGGTGGCAATGCATTTCTGTTTCCCTATCACTGCGTTCACAATAGACCTACTGTGTGCCGGGCACTCTTCTAGGTGCTGGGGGAGACACAGCAGTACACACAACAGAGGAAGTCTTCGTCTACACCCGCGGTTCTCAACCTGTAGGTCAAGACCCTTTGGGAGTCGAACGACCCCTTCACAGGGGTCACTGATGCGTAAAAGTAGCAAAATGACAGTGATGAAGTAGCAATGAAAATAATTTTATGGTTGGGGTCACCACCACATGAGGAACTGTATGAAAGGGTGGCAGCATTAGGAAGTTGCGAACCACTGGTCTACAGGGACCTTCTAGTCTGCTGCAGGGAGAGGAGCAGCAGTAAATAGCCCGCTTCCTGTACACCTGATGGCGAGTGTTGTGCACAGACATGAGGAGAGGCATGGGGGGGGTGGGGAGATGTTCAGTTTCATTGAGATGTGAACCTGCTTAAGGGTCCTTTAGTGAGTGCTTTAGGGGAAGAGAGTGCTTGAGGGAAATGCTCAGCCTTGAGGTGGGGCTCCAGGACCCACAGGAATAGGTAGGGAAAGGCAGAGGGGCAGAGAGCTGTGGAGCTGGTCTACGGAAGCACTTTGACTCCTCACTGGACAGAAATGGCAGTCTTCAGGGTTTGCTGGTCAGCAGAGGGCTGGTCAGACCCTGATGACCACAGTATCATCACAATAGGAAGGTCTGGGTGGGGCATGTATGTCCCTGATGGTACAAATGTTAAGGATGGTCAGGGGCTGAGGTAGTTAGTTTATTGTGCCAACCTGGCCGATAAACACATGTGGGGTTAATTGGACGGAGGGATAAATGGCTCAGTGAGCCTCGCCTTTCTGGTTCTTGGGTCTCTTGCTTTCTGATGGTCGGACCAGGGTGAAGCTGCCTTAGCCAGTTCCCTGCTTCAGCTTGGAAGGCTGACTTCCTGCAAGACATCCCTGAG